AGCCTTAATCACAGGTAAAGATGAATTTGTCCTCTGAACTATCAGTGGTATGGATACTGAAACAGTCACAGATATGTTGGATTGATGGGAGGTTTGTTGTGTGAACATCACGTGTCCAGACTGGTGAGTAAGAACTGGTTCTTCATGCTTTTGAGGTACAGAGTTAGAACTAATTTAATACCACAAGTAGAGGAGGAGCAGATTATACCTGATCAGGACTCATCCAGGTCCACTAAAGCACAGGTTTAGATGTGGAAACTAACCAGTTTAAGACCTTAAAGGGCTCGTCCGGGAGTTGAACCCGGGACCTCTCGCACCCTAAGCGAGAATCATACCCCTAGACCAACGAGCCACACCTTTTTCATAAGACGTCCTGTTGTTGGTGAGCTTAAACAGAGATGAATGCAATCTAAACTCTGGAAGAACAAGGAACCATCAGTACATAGGCAAGCGAGCTGGAGCTGTCTATGAGGAGGTTGGTTGTGTGACGCGTTGGTCTAGGGCTATGATTCTGGCTTGGGGTGTGTTAGGTCCTGGGTTCAAGTCCTGGATGAGCCCTTTAATTTCTTAAACGATTCCATGTCTGAGGGGTTGACAGTGAACATGTAAAGTGTGTTCCTGGGTTTTTACTCTTCCTGCAGTGGTGGAAGTTTAAATAGTTTCCCTAACTTCACAGAACTTGTTTTAAGGCCTTAAAACTAACACGTGAGTGTTGGGCGTGCTGTGTTTGAGGTGCTTCTGTTTGGGTTTGAGTGGCGTTCAAAGACTTCTGCCTCCTTTCTGTCTGTGATTCTGAACCATCCTTCCTCTCTACGCATTCAGATGACGTGACTCCACGGACCGTCCACCCCGGCAGTACGTCCACCGTCCTCTCTGCTGCTTTGTGTGAAACATTTCAGCCTTTAATTCACCTTTGTAGCTTCATTTTTATCATTTCTATTCTCACTTTCAATCACACCTGTTTCAATCGTGACGAAATCTAGAAAACATCTGATCCCGTAGCTTCAATTTAATCATTTGATCCTATTTGATCTCCTTGATTTTAATGACAGTTCAGCATCCGAACCTGTCTCTGACGACAGTGTTTCTGTCGTTGCAGTTGATGACAGTCTGGGTTTTCTGCCGACGTTTGGTCCGTGTTTCGTCAACCTGTACGGCAGCCCCAGAGAGTTCACCAGCTTCAATGACCCACACGAGGCTCTAAACCTGGGAAAGGTAACCTGTCACCTGTTTTCGTTTTAAAATAAAACACTGTCGCTTTAGATCGAAAGGCACTTTGTGGAGTGTTTGGCCACTAGAGGAGCTATTAGGAAGGTTTTTATAGGCAGTGTCTTCAAGCTCCACCAGAAGGAGAAAACCCGGATTCTCTACGTGATGTCAGTAAATGCATCACAGATCAGCTAGATTTTAGTTAGTGAAAGTAATTAGTGACATCTCCAGATTCCAGATTCCCTAACCTAATTTCAGCATGAACTGGAAACGTGGGTTTGGGTTTGTTTAACTCAACCTACCTTCGAGTGTTTGACCATGTGACATCAAGTGACCACGCCCCCTCTTTCTGTACATCAGGGCGAGGGCGTGGCCTACCGAGGTCGAGTCTTACTGGAGCTAACCACCAAACTGGTGGACAAGCCGGAGCAGAGAACCGAAGACGTCCCGTCCGACGATCTGTTGGTGGTGGAGGTGAGACAGAACCCCAACTAGGAGGATTCATTTCTGATGCCCCTCATGTTCAAACCTTTCCCTCCGTCTTACAGAAGTTTCTCCGGAAGAGGAAGTTCTCCCTCTTCGTAGCGTTCTACTCGGCCACGCTCCTCCAGGACGTGGACGATGCCATCCAGTTTGAGGTCAGCATCGGTAACTACGGCAACAAGTTTGACTACACCTGCCTGCCTCTGGCCTCCACCACTCAGTTCAGCAGGGCCGTGTTCGACGGTAGGTCGACTGGTTTACCCTACAGACGTTTAAAGGGCAGTCAGCCTGATGTGGGCATTCATTATGCTGCTGCACTAAAATGCGTTCATTGCTGTTAATTGTTGTTATTTTACAGATTCAGTTAAATTCCAGATAATACTGAGTGAAACCAAAAAAGTATGAATGTACATGTTAACTGGAAACACACTGAAAATTACAGTCTGTACCTTTAACAAACAGTAATTCATTCTTCTACAACATTTGACTGCTGTTCTGCTGTGTTTAAATCAGCTGAAATATCCTGACTTTGCAGTTTTTCTTGCTCCTCTGCTGCCAGATGTTTAACTCAAAAGTTTTTTTTACAGTGTAAGTTTGCAGCAAACAGATGTGAGCGCGCCGTGAAGTGATGTAAATGTGCTGTTAAATAAAATACATGTGCAGGAAATTGGCTTACTTTTAAAGTAATAGAATAAATATAATAACTATTAATTCACACATAAATGAATGCTGCATACGTAGTGAACATGTTTGAAAGTTTCTCAACTCTTTTGACTAGTTGATAAGAAGATGTTGGCCGAGGTGGAACGTAAAAGTCTGGAAACCTGTTTTGAGTTTAGTTTGTAGAAGCTGCTGATTTTAAATTAAACCTGTTCCAGGCTGCCACTACTACTACCTGCCGTGGGGAAACGTCAAGCCGGTGGTGGTTCTGTCGTCAGAGTGGGAAGACATCAAGCCGAGGATCGAGGCTCTCAACATGCTGCTGGCCGTCATAGACAGACTGGTGCGTTGCCTTAGACAATGACAGCTTTAGAGCCTGAACGTGAGAGCAGGTCTGCATTAATGTTACAGGTTTCTGCTTCAATCTGTACATTTAAGAAGCTGGATTAGTTCTGTCTGAGGTAAACACTTTAAAGAGCTCGTCCGGGAGTCGAACCCGGGACCTCTCGCACCCGAAGCGAGAATCATACCCCTAGACCAACGAGCCACATCAAACTCTAGTTTTTTACAGAACTGGGTTTGAGATTTTTTGTGACCTATTCATCAGGACAAGAAGGAAAAAGTGATTTTCATTAAACATCACAGGTTTAAGCTCAGGTTTTCCCAACAGATGATTAGTTCAAGGACCGTCGGAAGGTCGAACATCCGCTGATTCTTTCTGTTTTCACAGTTTCTTGGTGTAATATTTTAAAAACGTTCAGACTTGCTGGCAGGTTTTGGGACTCAGAGGGTCTAAACGTTTCCCAGCCAGCAGACAAACAACGCTTCAGATAACGTTTGTTGTTTCAAACGTTTAGCAACATTCACAGGATGTTTGAAACAAAACAAACTGACGGTCAAAGTGTTTTTTAGCGTGTTTTTGATGAAGTGTTCCTGTGATGTGGTTTATTAATAGCTGTTACCAGTAAAGACGAGTATTAGTCTGACTTCAGGGTGATCGTGAGGCTCGTTAGAAAGAAAACTGCCCCTTTATCTGTCACAGCGTGCCCTGTGTGAACATGTTTGTGTGTCCAGGAGGCGAATCTGCAGCGAGTCCAGCTGCAGGTGAAGTCAGGCAGCGACCTGGAGGACGTGGAGCTGCGAGTGGTCGAGCTGCTGGATCAGGTCATCACAGACTGCAGGTACACGCTGCCTCAGCCAGGTCTTCATCCAGCACGAAGTGGAATGAAAGCACTTCTTTAAAAACTCTCTAGTTCCATTTTCCATTTGCATTATACTTCAGCACATTTCAGAGGAAAAGGGTTTACTTTTGACTGCACAGCATTTATTTTCCAGCCTGCTATTTATTACAGACAATAATCAAGTTACTGTGAAACACTTGACCGCTGACAACAGGAATCGTTTACAAATTAATCAGTCCCCAGGTTTTTAGCCCTCATAATGTGTACCGGACAGGAGATAGACACCTGAAAAACCAGATTTACTCTGCAGACTGAGACACCTGGATGGATGTAGAACTGATCTGGTGTCAGGTTCTAGCAGAACCCAGATGTGTTCTTCCTCCTAAATGTCATGTGTCTATCTGCTGTACTGATGAAGTTCTGAGGCTCAGAAATGATGGAAAAAGTCCATTAAAGTGATCAATCTGGGCTTCTGTGAAGATATTCATCGTGTGGAGGTCACGTGGGAGTTTAGATCAGATTTGGTTGAGTTCAAATGGAACCGACAGTTAAACTGGTTCATATAGCTGCATCAGATGTCATTTATCTCATAAATACATTCACATATACATCTACATACTGTTTATCGTGTTATATTTCAGTGTTCCTACGTTCTCGCCCTGACAGCAGCCTGTGTGTTGATGCTGCACCTCTCTCCATGTATCGTCTTGTTTTCTCCCTCTGCTCTCCAGCCAGGAGCTGCCCTCCCTCGACCACTGGCAGTGTGCTACGCCGCTGGACCGCTCGCTGAGGCACATCCGAACGCTCCACCTGCAGCAGATCGTGGCGGCGGCGCTGGCTCTCAAACACGGACCGGAAACCGAGCTGTCCACGGTGCTGGAGCAGGCCGAGGACTGGGCCAACCGGCTGAGGACCATGGCCGAGGAGGTGCGTGGAAGCTCCCGGCTGCAGGCTGGAGGGCAGTTAAAAAAAAAAAACATGATCGTTGACAGTATGTGGGCTGTTCTGTGAACGTGAAGCAGAGGTTGGGTTCTTAGTTGTAAAACATCCAGCACAAAGAGTTACAGCACTGAAGTCTCCATCACATGAGGGGAAGTTCTGCTTTGACAGCATCAAAGGTGTGGATTACTTCCAATCTTGTGTAGGAAGAAGAGGATACAGGGCTCGTCCGGGATTTGAACCCGGGACCTCCCACACCCTAAGGGAGAATCATACCCCTAGACCAACGAGCCACACAGATGTAGGATCTTTATGTGTTTTGTTTCACTGTGCGCTAGTTTTCCAGTGCAACACAAAGTCCTGCACCTCTGTGGAAGCAGGCTGTGAATTCTGCACAATCTGTTAAACCATAAACAGAAAAACACGTGTTTAATAGATAAATGATTCATCAGCAGCTGATGCAGTGAATCAAACAGGCTTCCTGAGCTGCTAATTTCTCCATTTATTGTTTGAATGTTAGAATAAGTTCTGGCTGCAATGAGTTTGCACTTATTTCCTCTGTTTTCTGAGACTCCTTGTTTCACTGAATCTCTATGAAGAAATGGAGCAGGTGGAGATAAACTGGGTTCATCAGAAGCTAATCTCTATTCATGCCCCCTCTGTCTCTCTCTCTGTCTTTGCCCCTGTGCTGTGCATGTCTCTCGTCCAGCCCCAGAACAGCCTCCCGGACATCGTGATCTGGATGCTGCAGGGCGACCGGCGGGTGGCGTTTCACCGCATCCCAGCTCACAGCGTCATCTTCTCCCAGCAGCACTGCGGCAAACACTGCGGACAGCTGCAGACCGTTTTCCTCAAGGTACAGACACACCCGAGTCGCTGCACATAAAACCAGCCGGATCGGACCGAACCTCCCTCGGACCTGCTCAGGATCAGCTGACTTCCTGTCACCTGATTCACCTGAGTTGAGTCTCTAGTGGTGCGATGTTTGCTCAGAGCGTTACTGATCACATAAAGTAATGCTAAAAACAAGCAACTGTATGCAGCATGTGTAGAAGAACAACAGTTTACTGATAGAAAGAAGACGCTGATTTCAGAGAAAAGAGGAAAATTCTGCTTTTTAAGGTCTGTTTTTTTTTTGTTCTTCAGAATCTACAAACCCAGTAATGTCCAGTATATTTAAATTTATATTATTATGAAGATGAAATAGAATATAGTAGAGCACTGTTGGGCTGGGTGACATTTATATTAATGCCAGACTGAAAGTAGAACATATCAAAAAATAATATACTGATAATGTCTGATCATAGAAGCATCTAATGAAACACGTCACATAATCGTTGACGGTATGTGGGCTGTTCTCTGAACATGAAGCAGAGGTTGGATTCTGACCCATAAGATGTTCAGTTACAGCGCTACAGTCTCCATCAGGGTTCTGCTTTGACAACATCACAGGTGTGGATTATTTCCAATCTTGTGTGTGATATGAAAGAAGAGAATAAAGGGCTCGTCCGGGATTTGAACCCGGGACCTCTCGCACCCTAAGCGAGAATCATACCCCTAGACCAACGAGCCCCTGGTGTTCACAGAGATGACCCATCAGTCAGCAAAGCCTAAGTTATAGAACCAACTGGTGAGTAAAGAACAAGTTTTATAGCACAAGTAGAAGAGGAGCCCAGTAAAGACTCATCAAGGTCCACCAAAGAACGCTTTTAGACCAGTTCAAGAAGGTAAGGGGCTCGTCCAGGATTTGAACCCAGGACCTCTCGCACCCTAAGCGAGAATCATACCCCTAGACCAACGAGCCACACAGATGCAGGATCTTCATGTGTTTTTTCTGAGCCAGTCTTTCTCTGCAACATAAAGTCAATTTAGCTCAAATCCATTTTACATCTACTCCAGTTGTCACAATCTAAACCCTGAACCTCTCATTCCTGTATTTATGAACTCAGGGGCTCAAGCTGATTCTGTTTCGGTCGGAGGGAAGAACAGACTGATTTGTTTTCATGGTACCGCCGTCTCTCTCGTTGTGTGTTTGTTGTGTAGCGTCCGCAGGGCAGCAGCGGAGAGGCCAAACTTCCCGGTCAGCTGAGGGTCAAAGTGTGGTTCGGATTGGCTGCCGACGTCAAACACTTCAACCAGTACGCCGAAGGAAAACTGTCCGTCTTCGCCGAGACGGTAAGAAACACCTCACGACTGAAATGGGATCGGGCAGGTTTTATGTCCTGAAGCTGCTGCAGAAAGATTCCAGAACCACACACACGGACACTTGGTCCCGACCCCAACAACGTCAGTGTTTGATCTACAGAACACGTCTTTAGTGGTATTTTCTAGTGTGCAGGGCAGTACGATAGACTTCTACAGAAGTCTGTAGACGTCAGTAGAAGTCATGATTAGAGTTCAGCCAGATGTTCTGAGCTGGTTCTGTTGCTGTCACTACATTTCAGGCAACGAATCAAACAGTAGAAGTGACTCTGGAGACGGTTCTTGTAAAACGGAGAATTTTTCCCTCTAGCATGTGGTTAATGTTGGGACACTGTTGTCAACACAACTCAGGACTTTTCCCAATAAAATGAATTGTTTTTGTGCTTAAACGTCACCACAGAGCAGCTGGATTTGAAAACATTACAGAAGCTGAATAATAATGTAGTGAAGTGTCAGTCACCAGCCTCCAGCCTCCCTGGAAGGACTCTGGTCCTGACTCAGCAACACTGACTGGGTTTACAAACGGACGCCGAGGAGTCGTGGCCAAGCGTCCATACGTGAGACTGTCTTCATATCTGAACAGCTGCAGACACAGTAAAATGAACATCCCATAATCCAGCCCCTCGTCTCTCTGCAGTACGAGAACCAGACTCGGCTCGCCCTGGTGGGCAGCTGGGGAACCACGGGCTTGACTTACCCCAAGTTCAGCGACGTCACCGGCCGAGTCAAGCTGCCCAAAGAGAGCTTCAAGCCGTCACCTGGCTGGACCTGGGCGGGGGACTGGTGCATCAGCCCCGAGAAGACGTGAGTCGGCCTCCACGTGTGCCTCTCTGCTCTGATTAATTCTATTATTTTATATATCCTTTATTGACCCACTGAGAGTGTCCATTGGTCAGTTGTTTATTCCAATATCTTTGTGTTTTTATCCACTTTAGTCTGCTTCAAAGCACATTTCTGAGTTTATTTGTGTTTTAATTGATTTATCTGCTATTTGGGATTTCTTCTTAATTTTTTAAAATTTCTATTTATTTATGTTAATTTTTGTTGTTAATGTTTTTCAGTTTTCTTCCACTCCTGATCGAGCCAACATGAGTCACGATTTATTTTTACTTTTCATTATTTTTTATTTTCACATTTGTGATTTTTAAATGTAATTTTTATTTATTTTCAAGTTTCTTCTACATTTTTGAATGCACGTGTTTTATTATTATTTTTGCTTTCTCTTTTGGACCTCTTTAATTTTTAAAATCATTTTTTATTTCATTTTAGTTTTAGTTTTATTCGTTGGTTTTAGTCTCTCTAAGTTCTGCTTTTCCTGATTCAAAGCAGATTTTTCACTCTTACACATCCGACTATTATTTATTTACACCGGTCTTTTGTGATTTTGCTTTCACTTTTATTTTTTCTTTATTTAAAAAAACATTTATAAAACATGCTGCCAGTGTTCGTGGCCCTTTAAATATTGCTCCATATCCTCACGGACAGGTGAGACTCACCTGCTTGCACCAAAGCTTCAGTGGGCCACAGGGGGCACTAATACTTATACTACTTCTGCTTTCAGCTTTTTGCCAGTGAGTTAAATAAGCTCACTGACAGGTTTCAGATTGTAGATGATCTCTGTAACTGTGCTGGTTTGTGTTGGCGCCTCAGGCTGCTGTTTGACGTGGACGCCGGTCACATGACCTTCACCGAGGAGGTGTTTGAGAACCAGATGAGGCTGCCGGGAGGACAGTGGATCGGCATGCCGGAGGGCTACACGGATGTGGTGCGTGTGTGTCTTTGTACAGATGACGCCTTCATTCATGTCAGTAAATCTAAAAGCCCGTGTTGTGTGTCAGAACGGGGAGAAGGCGGTTCCGAAGGACGAGGTGGAGGTTCCTCCCGGCTGGGTGTGGGAGGAGGTGGAGTGGAGCGAGGACCTGAACAGGGCCGTGGACGATCAAGGTGAGCACAGTCTCATCAGAGCGTCTCCTTCAGCTGACTGACCTGAACTCACCTGTCCTGCTGTGTCCAGGCTGGGAGTACGGCATCACCATCCCTCCGGACCGCCGGCCCAAGTCCTGGGTCCCGGCTGAGAAGATGTACCACACCAACCGACGCAGGCGCTGGATCCGGATGAGGCGACGGGACCAGCAGAAGATGGACGCTCTGAGAAAGGTAGCAGCAGAGGAAGATCAGAACCTTTAAAGCCAACACACTGAGACGTGCAGCGTGTCTCCCCCTGCTGGCTGTCAGAGGCACTACACAAATACGTCATCTCTCTCTGCGTTTTAGTCTCTAACTCTTCTTTTGTTTTTTATCTGTAGCTTTAGAAACTTTGGAGTTTTCTCTATGGATCAGTTTGTGTCAAATCAAGAACTTCTTTGTAATTTGAGTCCCAAAAACTGAGTTCTGTAAAATATTTTGGCTGAATTATTCCTCCTCAAACCTCCTCAGAACATCTGGTTCTGATTCTGCAGCACCTTCATCTACTGACCAGAGTTCTACCTTCAGACTGTGAATGTTCCAGAGGTCCAGGTCCTTCAAGTCCACAGAGGAGGGTCCAGATTGATCACCTTAATGGACTTTTTCCATCATTTCTGAGCCTCAGAACTTCATCAGTACAGCAGATAGACACATGACATTTAGGAGGAAGAACACATCTGGGTTCTGCTAGAACCTGACACCAGATCAGTTCTACATCCATCCAGGTGTCTCGGTCTGAACACTGGACCTGGTTTTAAATTAAAAAGTGATCAATCTGGACCCTCCTCTGTGGACTTCAAGGACCTGGACCTCTGGAACGCTCTCAGTCTGAAGGTAGAACTCTGCATGGCTTCATTAGATGTATTAAAGTCGTTGTACAGAAGTTATCAGCTGATTCTGAGGAGGTCTGAGGAGGAAGTTTGTGCAGATTTCATTGATTTTATACAGAGTGACCCTATAGCTGATTGAACTGAACTGAGAGAGCGATATAAAGCAAGGAGGGGTGGACAGAAGCAGAGAGCACGAAGCTATTTGTTGTTTACATCCTTGCAGCTACAATCTGGATTAATAATCTTTGTCTGGCTCGGTTAGACAATAGAAAAACGAAAATGAAGCTCTGAGCAGCTCCATGTGAGTAGCTGAAGCTCCCTGAACCAGCCACTAGATGGAGCTCAAGTTACACAAACGAGCGTCCTCAGCTGTGGCCTTTGAGCATCTCTTTAAAACTCTGACTTCTCGTCTTTGTTGATTAAAAGCTGAGTTATCGATTTTTATCCACAGCAGCGGCCGGACGAGGCGGAGAGGGAGGGCTGGGAGTACGCCTCGCTGTTCGGCTGGAAGTTCCACCTGAAGCCCAGGAAGACGGACAGCTTCAGGAGGCGCCGCTGGAGGTGTCGCATGGAGCCGCTGGAGAAGACGGGCCCGGCGGCCATCTTTGCTCTGGAGTGTTCTCTGGTGAGGGATGGCGTTCATCATGGGCTGGTGGGAGTAGAGTCTAATAACTGCACTAACCGGGAGGAAAGTATGTGAACACCTCAACCACACAGACAGGTTAGAGGACGAGCTGAAGGTCTGAGTTCTGCAGGATTCTGTGGTTCTGTGATGCTGTCGGGTCCACTTGTGTCCACGTGACAAAACGCTTCCACCTGATGGTGCTGCTATCCAGGATGATGCCTGCATCCATCTCTGATTCATAGTTTGATGAGAATTAAAACAAGTTTAGTTTCAGTAGAACCATGGATCCATCCATACATAGACACTGACTGGAACTTTCTGGACCAACACCAGCCTGGTTGGACCATTTTCCACTTTTTTATTTCATTTTTAAGCAACAATAATCAATAATCTGGCCTCTGCTGGAGCCATTAAATGATTTGGACCTGCATAGAACTGAATTCTTCCATCCCAACAGCCAGAGTGCTGCAGAATGTTCTGACTGCAGCTCGCTGTCATTCTGCTGCAGGACAGAAGCTCTGGTGTTTCTTTGAACCAACCACCATCGTCTCGGTGGTGGTAGGTGACGGATAAAGGCCCGTCAGAAGCTTTGGTAAAACCGGCCACTCTCACCGTGTAGCTGGTTGTTGCTGTAGTGGAGGACATGTTGGAACTGGGAGCTCACAGGGAGCAGGGAGAAAACTGAGCACTTCTCTTAATGCAGCAGCCTGTAACGGTATTGAAGCAATAACGTGTCTCCGATCCTGGCACCAGCTGAGGGACTTCAGCCTCGTCCTGTTTCAAAACTACACGGAGCCAGGTCCATTAAGAAGCGCGGTACCCAGTTCGGGGACTGGCCGGCTCGGAGCCCCGACCTCAGCTCCAATCAGTTGCTTGTTGCCCAACCCCGACTGTACTTGTGGCTGAGAGGGAGCAAATCCCTGCAGCCAGACGTCCAGATCTGGTGGGGAGGCCTGCCAGAGGAGGCTGCTGCAGTAATGCCCGTGAATGACACGCAGAATAAACACTGACAGACTGGCGACACACTGGAGGAGGCTGTTTCTGAAGCGTGAAGGCTGGCGGAGCCTCCGATCTGCAACCAGCGACGGAGACACACCAACTCCAGCAGCGCCTCTGGAGAGCCACGGAGCTGGACAAGGTCCAGTAAAAGGGACACGATCGGCTGTTTAGTTTGTTCACACAACTCAAGTTTTCTTTGTGTGGAAGTATTGACCTTATAGATGAAAGAAAGTGCAAAATCTTCTAACGAGGGTGTTGATCCAGAAAGTTCCTGTCTCTGGATGGACCCATGGTTCTACTAGAACCCAGTCTCTGGTCTTATTTCACCAACTGTTGAGGCTCTAACATCAGTAGAACCTGATTTGGTGAAGTTGGACCAGACAAGGTTCTGGTTTTAGATGTTTAGACTTTAAAGCAGTTTAAAATCGCTCCAAATTGCCCCAAAATGTCCCGTTACTGTCTGAAATGACTTGAAATGTGTCTGAAATGGCTCAGAATTCTACAAAATCACTTAAAATCAGTCCAGAAATGACCTGAAACTGTTTAAAGCTGCTCAGAATGTTCCCAGAGTTACTCAAGATTTGCTTAAAGTGAATCAAACGGTGTAACTGGTTCCTCAGAAAGTTCCTGTCAGTGTCTGTCTATGGATGGATCCATGGTTCTCCACCGTCTGAGGCTCTAACATCAGCAGGATTAGATGTGGTGAAGTTGGACCAGACAAGGTTCTGGTTTTAGACGTTAAGACTAAATGTTGATGTGGATCATTGGTAGGAACCAGGACCTGGAGGTGACAGGTTCTAGGTGTTGGTTCTGGATGTGCAGAGCTACAAGCTGCTTCATGTGGAAGTCCAACAACATGAGGCTGATTTTACTGAATGTCTGTGGAGACGAACACCGAACAGAGAAGCTGATGATGATTCAACACAAACAGGAGATCAGAGCTGCTCTTAGAAACAGCAGAAATAAAAATGTGGAGTCACTTTCTATGTATGTGCAGAAACGAAATCCTCTCAATCCGTTTCAGTTTCCTTGTTGGTGTCAGTGTCCAGTTTGTCTCCTCGTCACAGCTGGAGTCGGATGTTTGTAGGAGAATAAACATTTCATGCTTTTGTCTGAATGTTGTCTTTGTTTCCCTACAGAGCAGCATCGAAGACAAGAACGACGACAAGTCGGTCACCACCACGTTCGGAGTCAACAGACCCACTATTTCATGTTTCTTTGACCGTAAGTCAGAAAACAGAAAACTATTCATCCGTTTAAAAAAACCCAAAGCTCACAGCAGCTTTAAACACGAGTGTCAGAGACAAATAGGAGCCGATACAGTAAACTCATGTGGTAGTTTGGAGTCTTTGTGGATAAACCTGTGACCTGAGCTTCAGCGTTGTTGCTTGTTGTCTGCAGGTGGAACCAGATATCACCTGCGCTGCTACCTGTATCAGGCCAGAGACCTGCTGGCCATGGACAAAGACAGCTTCTCAGGTATTCTACGCTCAATTACCAGTCATGTGTTTGTCATACGGATCGTTGGCGCCACCTGGTGGACAGAAACCTAGTTGTTTAAACTGAGTTGAGCTCCAGCTCCAGATTGAACCATAAGATCGATAAATAGAGTTCTTTATTGGTGTTTTAAAGGTAATGTAAGCGTTGCAGCAGCAGTTTTCAGAGTTTACGTGTGATTGATAGTGTGAAGCATCATTTACAAATAATTCTACTGCTTAAATATCCTTCATTAAACATTTACAGGCCAAAAACTACACATGAAGCCGTTTAGAATTAAACCTAGAAGCTGTGTTTTAACTGATGGGGGTGACTGTGTTATTTCACAGCAGTTCTTTGGTGCTTCAGCCGCCAGAATATTTCTATTTTTAACTCTTTTTTTTTGCCGTGTAACGAGAAACAAGCCACCACAGACGTGCAAACAGAACGTTATAAGCAGAGTTAAACGGAGGGGTGACAGATGTGAGGTTAGTTAGAGAGAAAGAAACGTCCAACCGCAGACTGAAACCAGGAATCAGGGAACGGATCAGCGCAGCTGATGGATGAGCTCCACTGCGTTCATCATCAGGCACCCACGTCTTCCTGTCTCCTTTACTTCAGTCTCCTTTATACCTTCTTTCCTTCTGCCTTTTCTACACCAGCTTTTTGTATCAAACACAGCTCAAATCTTTTTAACTGATTTTCTATGTTTTGGTAAACTGCAGACGATAACGAGTAAAATCACAGAAAATAAAAACATAAATTTACAAAAGCTATAAATACTGTCCACATCAAAAATGAGTCAATCGTTCTTCTACAGCATTTGACAGTAACGTTTTTACTGCATTTAAATCTGAAAAAACATTAATTTACACATATTTGCTGTTAGTAGAAGAAAAAATATGTGTAAAAGGACTGAAAGTAGTCCCAATTTTGTTTTAATTATATCCAGTAAAGGCATAAATAATTTACACATATTCATTTACTTACTGATATAAAAGAAAAAAACAGGCTCCTAATTGTACATAACATCAAAAATCTGTGTTTTTACAAATGTCTCCTCGTAAAACATTTGATCGTAAAGTGACGTTTTTGTTTTTGCTGCATTTACATCAGCAAAAAGGTCATTTTGCTGATATTTGTCGTCATTTTTTTAAAAGAAAAGTTTTGTATTTTAACCAATAAAAAATGTAGGACCACAGTTCTGTTAAGTTACAGGTAATTCTTTTATTAAAATCACAGTAAATTATTATTTATACGTATAAAAAGAACCCCGACCAACATGTCAACATGAAACATTTGTGTTTTTACTAACAGTAATTTATTCTTTCACGGTGTTTAAATCATCTAAACATGTCATTATTGTGCAGATATGTGTTGTTATTGTCACTGATTTTACTCGGACTGACTGATTAATTTGACCTCGTTTCTGTATCGGTGGAGTCTTTAAATCCTGCCATGTTCGCTTCTGCCTTTTGTCCTCTTTCTGATTTGTAAATGCACTTTCTTTCTTTCTTTCTTTCTTTCTTTCTTTCTTTCTTTCTGTGTGGGGACCTTTCCTCTTTTGCCTTCTGCCTCTTCCTGAATGCATTTTTAACGACGATCTAGATTTCCACATCCAGAGCCGTCCTCCTGTCGTCCTCTCTTCATGCTGCCCTGGTTGTGTCCCTGAGAGGCTGCTGACTTACATAACCCCCCTGGGCTGTTTGTACGCTGCCGCTATGAGCTAACTGTGTGTGTGTGTGTGTGTGTGTGTGTGTGTGTGTGTGTGTGTGTGTGTGTGTGTTACAGGGTTAATTGAGGGCTGGTGGGAAAAAGCATCTTAACTTGTGTTTACTCTGATGCTAACGGCTCCACAGAGACTCTTTACTCGGCCTGGAATAACAAACTACTCGCTGTGTGTAACTGTACGTGTGTGTGTGTGTGTGTGTGTGTGTGTGTGGTTGTGACCTGGAATAACAAACTTCTCCGAGCGGCGTTCCCAGCGCTCCGTCTCAAGCTCGGCATTCCCAAGCTGCTGATGTCACCGCGCCGGACGCCAGGACGGCTTGGACGCATGCATGCAGGAGTCTGTGTCGCTATACTTGTGAGAACCCTCGTTAGAACTCAGCTGCTGAATACGAGACGCTAAAGGGACCAAACCGTCGTCTTATCTCTGTGGTGACGCTGCAGCCTCACTGTTAGAACCTGGATTCAACATCTGGTTCTGTACTGACCAGAGTTCTACCTTCAGACTGTGAATGTTCCAGAGGTCCAGGTCCTTGAAGTCCACAGAGGAGGGTCCAGATTGATCACTTTAATGGACTTTTTCCATCATTTCTGAGCCTCAGAACTTCATCAGTACAGCAGATAGACACATGACATTTAGGAGGAAGAACACATCTGGGTTCTGCTAGAACCTGACACCAGATCAGTTCTACAGCCACAATCTATACACCTCTTCTTGGTATTTTGAGTCCTTTTGGGTTATTTTTGGGTCATGCACTATTGAGCTTAAAGTCATTTTGGATCATTGTAAACGAGTTTTGGACAGTTTCTGAGTCATTATAAAGTCATTTTAAACTGTACAGTAATCTACAGGTTGAGTTTTGTTCAGTCACCTGTTTCCAGGATCCTGACAGTACCTTTGGACACGTTTCACATCACATGGGGTCATTTTTACCTCCTTTTGAACAGTTTTAGGTCATCTTCAGGTCATCAGTTTTTACACATTTAAACCCATTTTTGGACAGTTTTGAGTCATCTAGAGTAATTCTGAGTCATTGTGGACATTATAAAGCAGTTCTGTTCTGTCATTTGACATTTTTTTTAACTCATGTCGGACTGTTTTGTTTGTCTTTGTTGGTAGCATTTGTAGTCAGAATCTTTGGTTTCATCCCTGCAGCCTTTAACAGTCTGTACACACTCTTCTGCTAAATCCACAGCTGAACCAGCATCACACTCACTTCAACTGGTTGAACTCTACAGCACAGATGCATTTCTGTACCGTCTGCACTGAACCCGTGTGGACATGTTCTGGTTGGTCAGAACTACTTTAAGTGGAGAAACAGTCTCCTGAGAAGTGACTCTTATTCTTCTGTGTCGCTGTCGAAGCACAAACAGAAATCTGTCTCGGCTTAACTTGTACGTTGAGAAAATGAAGCTTTCTGTGTGGCAGCTGATCCACAGACAGCTGTGAGATAAGTGTGAACACTTGTGAACACCTGCAGCCTGCTCCTTGATGTTCTGCAGGTGGAACCGTCTGATCGGTCTGGATGGTTCCACCGATCCGATTAAACCAGAACACTGAGGATCCTAACGAGTGCTTGTCCCTCCTCAGACCCGTACGCCATCGTGTCCTTCCTCCACCAGTCCCAGAAGACGGTGACGGTCCGGAACACTCTGAACCCCACCTGGGACCAGACGCTCATCTTCTACGAGGTGGAGATATTTGGAGACGCCGAGGCCACGGCGGCCAACCCTCCCAACGTGGTGGTGGAGCTGTACGACCAGGACTCATACGTGAGCCTCACAGATGTCACGTTTATACAGCAGCAGGGAATTAGTCCTGATGAGCACCAACGTAGATTTGGTGCTTTTTTTTTTTTTCAGTGTCACATTTATGATATATAATAAAAACTGTCCTTTTGTCCTTCTTCTTCCTCCTTTTTCTTCCTCTTCTTCTTCTTCCTCTTCTACTTCATCTTCTGCCTCCTTTCTTATCCTTCTTGTCCTTCTTCCTCCTTTCTCCTCCTTTTTCTTCCTCTTCTTCTTCTTCTTCCTCTTCTCCTCCTTCCTCCTTTATCCTTCTTCTTTCTGCTTCTTCTTCTGCCTCCTTTCTTATCCTTCTTGTCCTTCTTCCTCTTTTTCTTTTTTCTCTTCTTCTTCTTCCTCCTTTCTTCTTCTTCTTCTTCTCCTTCGTCCACCTTTCCACCTTTATCTTCTTCTTCTTTGTCATCATCTTAACGTCTAAACATTCATTCAGGACATTAACCCTTTGTTTGCCAGTTAGTTGACATGGTGCCGCTGTGGTTTTTTCATGTAAAAACATGAGAAATAGACGATTTTCCAGAGTGTAGATGGTACGAGGATTGTTTTTACATCACGACAGTCTGACGTGTCGACATGTCGTACGTTTGTGTCGTGTTCTAATCGGACAGGGAGCCGACGAGTTCATGGGCCGCTGCGTCTGTCAGCCGTCTCTGACTCCGTCGCCTCGCCTCGCCTGGTTCCCCGTCCGTCTGGGAGACAAGAACGCCGGCGAGCTGCTGGCCGCCTTCGAGCTGATCCGCAGAGAGAAGGTCAGAGCTCCTTCACTGCTCTCCTAACCTGCTGATGCTTGATCTCCTCTTCCCTCTGAGAGCCTGTAAAACGTTCCAGGTTTGGGGAGGAAGGACGCTGATGTTCTGGTTTGTGACTGTGGACTTCATGCTAATAATTTATCTCCTTGTTCTGATTCTACAGCCAGCGATTCATCATATTCCAGGTCAAGAGGTCGGTTCATTTCTTGGACTTGTCTCTCTTCATTTAGCTTTTTGCTGCTTCCTTGTCCAGCCTTTAAACTTCTCGTCTCACCCACAGGGAGACGTCTTCACCTCCACTCACGTCCTCGACGAGGTAAAACCACATCTTACCCGATAGAACTGTTTTAAAACTGGCATGACTTCAGTATCTTCTGTTATCGTCATGTGAGTCATAGGTCAGACGTGTTGCTGCATCGTCTCTGATTTAGACTTCCCATATTTGTTATTCTGAACCAGAACACTGTGTTCTGTCACGTGTTGTTGGCTGAATTTTTGTTTTTAGATCTGCGAATTCTCGTGTTTTCATTTTAAATGTTCAGCATCTCCAGAAACAAAACGTCCACAGATGATTGAGTTTTTAAAGTAACGCACGACGTCTGAGTCCAACACCTGATCTCTGAACTGTCTCTTCTCCTGTTTGACTCCTCGTCTCCTCCTGCTTTCCTTCACCGTTGCCTCCTCAGTTGATGTTTCCAGGATTCCTCCCTGAAAACCTGCAGCAATGGGTACAACATGTAGAGACACACTAAGAAAAGTCCATCCCATCCCTCCATCCACACCAAACACGTGCATGCTCCAGCCCGGCCGTCGCATCGGCCTCCTCGTGTGTTCCTCTTTAACCGCTCGTCCTCTCTGTTTACGGTAGTGTTCTGTCCATTAACCGGTCTCTTGTTGCCTAAAGAGGACATGTGTCAACATGTCAAACTTCATGTAAAGAGTTTCACCCACTTGATGTTTAGTCTTTAAGCAGAAAGCAGCCTCTCAGGTTTCAGCGTCGATTTCTAGTTGGGAACTACGTGATATTTGGTCTCTTCGCTCAGCTCAAGTTTGGTCCACAAGTTTAATTACAACTTATTTCAGTTGTAGGAAGCGAAGACGATCCTGATGCGTGTGAAGGGATTTCTCAGTGCATTCAAATCTCATAAAAATCACGTTTTTGGGAAAATGTGACCAAACACGGAGTGAAAACAGCAAAAACAAGCCAAAGAATAGAACTCTAAGTGTGGTCCAAGATGGGACTCGAGCTCAGAAAATCCTCTGACTTGATGAGGAGTTTTGTGTAAAATCTCACATAACTGATAACAACCGCCTGAGCCGACTGGACGGTGGAGTTAAATGGCTTTACATCAGGATCACATCATATTTCTGTACATATAGTTCTATCGTAGGAGGACAAACATGAACAGACATGTCGCCTTTAGTCTTCCACAGACAACATTTTAAAGAGTGCATCTGTTTGTGTGATTTAACACCATCGATCGATACTAAACCCAGTCGTTCAACATTCATCAGTGTCTGTCCATCAGTAAACGGCATGAGCCGCCGTCGTGAGTCTCTGTCCGTGACGTCACTCTGACCCGCCACTGTCCTGCGCTCCTATTGGCAGCCGGAGGAGTCGGACCTTCCGTACCCGCCTCCCCAGAGAGAACCCAACGTCTTCATGGTTCCTCAGGGCATCAAACCGGTGCTGCAGAGAACCGCCATCGAGGTATCGACGAGCTCTGCTCCGTCTGCTGCCGTGTTCTGCATTTTACTGTTTCAGTCGGCAAACGTTTGAGTTTTCATGGAAGATTAAAAGCAACAGAAATGTGTTTTTATTGTTTTTATTGTTGAATATCTTTGGACTGTGGGTCAAACAAAATGTGTGATTTTAAGGTGCTCTCAAACTTTAATGGGATTTTGATTCAGTAAATGATTTTCACTGTAAAGAAATAAAAAATAAATCTGGCTGCTGTTCCCACTCAGATACAGCACACAGCCTTCTTCATTCATTTACTTTGAGTGACTTAATGACAATTAGATGTAAAAAACAATGTAAGCAATCGTAAAAACCTTTAAATACTGCATGTAATGGAAACTTTTTATTATTTCAGCCAAAGAATAACAGAAAACTACAGCAAATATGATTGAATTTGTGTTTCAAAAAGAAAAAAAATAGTAATTTAACACGATAAGTTCCCTTTACTACAGAAATAATAATAACTTTACCATAAAATGCAGGAAGAATCCACCGTGCAGACATTATTTATACATTATTTATTAATTCATCTTGTTTTGTTCTGGTTAACGTGTAAATTAATATGTTTTTGAATGATTTTATGATAGTTATCACCTGAAATGGATCCTCTGTGTGCACCTCAGTTACTTAATTTAACAGATTTTTTTAAATGAACTAATTTATCTATTGTAATATAACAAAAAATACATGTAAAGACATGAGAAATATCATGTATACATTATTAAATACCTGTAAAAGACCAGACGTGGCAGTAAAGTTACCATGAACTGTCTGTAAAACCTTGAATTTAGGACGTTATTTACAGTTTCTATTTTATTTTATTTGGATTTTTTTATGGTTGACGTGCAAATTATTACTTTTTTTGAATGATTTTACTCTTTTATTATTATCTCTGATTCAACAAAGCTGATAAAAATCTGTAAATGAGCTGAAAGAATCACAGTTAAAGATGTAAACGCTGCTGAGTATTTTCCTAACCACAGGAATGTTTGCGTGTCTCTTCCATCAGGTCTTGGCGTGGGGCGTCCGCAACCTGAAGACGTTCCAGCTGGCCAGCGTCACGTCTCCCAGCCTGCAGGTGGAGTGTGGAGGCGCCATGATCCAGAGCTGCGTCATCCGCAGTGTGAAGAAGAAGCCCAACTTCGACGTGAACACGCTCGTCCTCGATGTGGTGAGAACGGAGTGTAATCAGCGCTAACGAGGCCGCCGCTGTGATGTGGCTCATGTCACTCGTCCGGCTTCATCGTTCTGTTTTTCCAGGCGAACCCTGAAGCTGCTGCAGGTTTCAGACATAAAGCGTGAGCAGCCCAGAGCTGTAAAGATGCAGGGCGGAGGGTTTTCCAGCGTATACATTACTAATGCAACATAAATGCAGGGTGGAGGTTTTATCACGGCCATGGCCGACGTACAAATGCTGACTAGATGCTTTAAAACTGAACTCGTAAACTCAACTGGATTTGATGCCTCATAAAGCAGACGTCTTCAGCCGCCGCTGAGCCAGAGAGGGCTGATATACGGCAGGTAGAGGTTTCTGTACGAGTCCAGAAACCAGGGAAACAGGTCCAAGGGTTTGAGCTCATAAAGACGCCGGGATTTTGTAGTAAATTTGCACCAAAACTGACAAAAGTAAAAGTGTTCAGAAGGAGCATGAAGAGGTGGGAGACCATCGCAGCAAATGAAAAACATTTAGTCCTGAATTCTCTTTTTAGGAGCTCTGAGATCCTCCAAATGTACAAAGTTACCGTGAATCGCTCCAGTTAGACGGAACAGCAGCAGAGTTACTCTATATACAATCAACCACATCTGAACAAAGATCCTCCAGAACCTCCTCAGAACATCTGGTTCTGGTTCTGCAGCACCTTCATCTACTGACCAGAGTTCTACCTTCAGACTGTGAATGTTCCAGAGGTCCAGGTCCTTCAAGTCCACAGAGGAGGGTCCAGATTGATCACTTTAATGGACTTTTTCTATCATTTCTGAGCCTCAGAACTTCATCAGTACAGCAGATAGACACATGACATTTAGGAGGAAGAACACATCTGGGTTCTGGTAGAACTTGACACCAGATCAGTTCTACATCCATCCAGGTGTCTCAGTCTGAACACTGGACCTGGTTTCTGATCGTTTCTTCTAGAACCAGCTGGTAGCATCTAAAGACTCTTAACAAGCTCTGAACTAGTTCATAAAACATGTGGAGTTGTTTCTACATGTAACAGCCTCACGATGCATTCAGCAGGTAGAATATGAGGGTCGTGGGAGATTAAATTAAAAACACAGATTAGGCTTGTTTCCATTAACTGCTTTGGAGGAAAGAAACTCACTAAAAAAAACTACAGGAGGAATATAGAGCAAAGTCTTTATGAACTGCAGGATGCTTCTCTAAACCAACCGTGAAAACAAACCTCTGCTGTGCTATCTGCCGGTGAGAAAGCAGGTTTCTCTCAGACTGTAAATGTGGTTTAGCTGTACAGGAGTGAGATTCCTGGTTGAGCCTCGGCTCCAGATGAGACCAGCGGTTCCCTCCTGCTCTCCAGGTGTGTAAACAGACTCCTAATTGTGAACAAGTTCTCCCTATAAACCCTGAAAGGTGCTAATTTGTTAGTGTTGTTGTTTCTGTTTCCCCCAAAAGGCCAGTTTAATGTTGTCAAAGAGGCTGTAATTCCACACGAAACAGAAAAGCTGAGCTAATGTGCAGCAGCTCTGCCAGAGGGCTTTAATCAGAGCGGCCACAGTAGCTCACCCAGAAGGACCTGGCTGGGCTTCAGGAAGCTGATACGAGCTGCTTTCTGGCTGCGGCGCTGCTTCTTCAGCCTCTGCTGTTGTTTCCACTCAGACTTACTGTACTGCTGTGACTCACAACAGTTGGCCGCTGCAGAGCGAACCGCAGGAAGCTGCAATTAGGTCTGCTGTTTATGTGGCACCCAAAAGGCTTTTCTTTCAGGAGAGAATAGGTCAGAGCTTACTCATGCAATCTCAGGATTCTGCTGCTGCAGGAGTCAGCGGAGGTTTATGTGCTCCACTGTCACAGCACGTAAACAGCAGGTTCAGATGAAGTCTGTCCTCCAGCTACTGCGTGATGAGCTCAGTGTTCTTGTTTAGTTCTGTTTTGGTTCTCTGGTGAAGCTCACGTTCTGCACAGTGTATTTATGCTATTACCTGGTTTGAGTGGCGGCGTTTTCAGCAGGTTCACTTACAGGTTTTGACAAGTTTCACTATTTGATTTTCATTTTTTTGTGGACAGTTTTAATGTGAACACAAACGCAACGGCTCAGTTCTGATGTTTCTGTTGAATTCAGTGGATTTCTCTCGGCTAGCCTTCTGCTCCGTGTGAAGCTAAACTTGGTGTTTGTACACAGTCCTGGCTTGGTTGGTTTTCCAGCGTGAGCGGCGTGCATGCTCGCAGCAGGAGGACGGGAGGTTTGGCAGGAGAAGGGCAGCGATGGATCTAGAAATCCAGAAAACATGCTGCTGCAGCAACTCAGACATGTTTACTTATTTATTTCTCAAAACTAAGTTCTGTAAAATATTTTAGTGTGTCCAGACCTGGACATTTTAATATTTTCACCCTAAAAAAACCCCATAAAAGCAGTGGAGCATCACTACTGTCTGAAGTGACACAGATGGATCCACATGCTAACAAGCGAGCTAAATGTCAAAAATCTTTCACATATTTCACCGTTAAGGGAACAAAACACGTCTATAAGTATAAATTCAGGGGGGCGAACAGGCTGCAACCAGTCTGACACTGTTAAAAATGCAAATATTGCAAAGTGTTTAACTGTTAAAGTGAGAATTACAAGCTGGTGATGAGCTCTGCTGGTGAAAATGATCAGAAAACACATCCAGCATACCAAAGTCATGCGTCTATCTGCTGCACCAGCCAAGTTCTGAGGCTCAGAAATGAATTTAATGAAGGTAAAACTTGATTAAACAAGGCCAGTGTAGGTCTTTTGGTGCTGCTTGTTAACCAGCTGCTGGTTAATTATGCCGATAAGGAGTTTGTCATTTCCAGTCAAACCAACTCGAACCAAAACAATGAGCTGAAAGAGGTTAAAGAGCTCCGTAGCACGAGTGGGATCCATCTGTAGCAGCTCAAACGAGGGTTTTTATGCTATTAAGCGGCTCCATGCGGGTCTCCACCCACCTCCACTCTGCTGTCACTCTTCTCAAAGTGTCTCTGATTCACTCATTTACTCTCATCAGTGCGACCACAGGATCCAAAGCGAGGAGCCTCAGCAGCCGTTATTATCCGTCCTCTGAGAGCCTGTTTCCACCCAGTTTACATCGGTGCCATTGCATTCCACCTAAGTGTTTTCTTATGAAAACCTAAACTGAAATATGGAAATATTTTGCACATTTTTCCTAACGGCAGCTCCAGCGCGGGCTCCGGAGTTTAATGTTAACAATATTAAGGTCTGAAGTTGATCACCTCGGTGTTTTATTATGACAGCTTTAACTGGAGGATGGAAATGTTCACATATTTTTCCCCTAAATGCAGCCCCCTTGCTTTGGCTCCTGCAGTTTAATGTTAACACGATTAAGGTCCTGTTTTGACCACCGCAAGAGTGTGACAGCCTCAACCGGACTGTGGAAATATGCACATAGTTTTCCTTTAAGTTTCACCCCCGGAGCCCAGTCCAAGCATTTAATGTTAACAATATTAAGGTCTTAAGTTGACTGCGTAAGTGTTTTCGTATGCCGCGGGGGCATAAGAAAATGTCATGTGCATAGTTTCCTTAAACGCAGCTCTTTGAAGAGTCTAACCGCCTCATGTTCGCTCTCTCAGTTTATTGTGAGAGCTGAGCATCATGAGCCTCACTTAAGCCTCTTTTAAAGCCGGAGAGGTCAAACAGATTACAGCGACTTTCCTTTTTTTCTCTTGAGCGAACTCACGGCGATGTTGTCTGCAGCTGCTGTAAAGGCTTGAACAGCTTCGCATCGTTTTCTTCTTCAGCTCTCGATGAAGCTCAGAGAGGTCCAGTGATCAAACGGTGACGTGAAGGTTTGTCGACTGTTTGTCTTCTGAAGCTCAACAACCAGCGGAGATGTATGAAATATGAGATGTACGACGAAATGACAGAACGTTGTGCACCTAAAGACGCTTCAATCAGTCAAACGTTTGCTGGTAAAATAGTCACTAGTTGTTCACGAGGATTAAACATGTCTTCTAGATAAATATTCTTTAATTATTAATCATCTAAATAAACACGTGTGTGCTGGGTTTGCTTTTTCCTACTAATGCACAGCTACTGATTTATACATATATTTACATATTTTATTTGTACTTTGATAACTTCTGCACACTGGAAACCTATTATTATACATGCTACAGATCATTTCTTGCCTCGCTGTAAGTTTTTATTGCATTTTTGTGCTTGTTGCAGCTCTAAGTTAGTTAGCTTAGCTGACTCTATAAACTCTAAAAAGTAATTCCAGGGACACACTCCTGCACGATAATAGGATAAAAATGGGGATATATATGAATAATAATGTTGTAATCAGCTCCAGGGCACAATAGATGTAATATACTGAGGTATGATAAATAAATGCAGCCCTTAAAACACTGAACAGGAAACAGAAAAGGCTTTTTACATGAAGGTATATTGGTTCCAGTAAAGCAGCTGCAATCACCAGTTTACATTAAATCCTCCTAATTGGCATTCAGCGGCGGCACGGGAACCTTTATTTTTGCTTTTTCTGCAGGTTTTTAACCCCAATCAGCTGCTCAGGTGTTTGTTTGGAGCTCAGAGCGACACAGTCGGGTCGATGTCTGTGTGTTCAGGCAGAAAGTGACGCCAGCTGGCGAGCAGCAGCAGCAGCAGCATCATTTACAGCGAACGCTGATTTCTGTGGTCAGGAAGTTGTTTTGAATCTTCACTCAACGCGACGTTTGTGCCCTGATTCCTTCACAACGATCAAATCTCAGGGGATTCGGTCATTTCTTCCCTCAGCGGTCTGCGAAGGTGTAATGATGCTCTGATTGGACGGTCACCAAGGCGTGACCAATCAGCTTCAGACAATCAGCAGCCAGAGCCAATCAGCGTCAGGCGAGCAGGTGGCATAACCAATTACACTGTAAAAACAATCCTATAAAAAAACCTGACAGCAATGTGGCAGAAAACATAAAAAATGATTAAAGTAACAGCAAACATCTTGACATCGTAGAGTCCTGCTGGCTGAACTTTTCATTATTATCTTTCCTTCCTCACCTCCTACTTTCTTTTACTCCCTCCTCAGAGACTTCCCCGTGAGGAGCTCTACATGCCGCCGATCGTCATCAAAGTCATCGACAACCGCCAGTTTGGGAGGAAGCCGGTGGTCGGTCAGTGCACCATCCGGTCTCTGGAGGAATACCGGTTCAATCCAGACGAGGAGCGGGCTGTGGAGGATGAGGAGGACGTGGACGGATGGAGACGTAAGGCACAGACTGATGGAGGCATAAGAACAAAGATCCAAACCAGAGATATTCCTCTACATGATGTCAGTAAACGTACCATAGAACAGCTGTAGTACCTGGTTGTTCCACCAGGTGGAGCCTCTCACTGTTTAATCCTGTAGAGACCAGAGGAGGTGTCACTTCCTGGTTGGCAGCAGAGAGCATTGTGGGAGTTTAGCAGCAATGGGACCATGACAGAGACTCTGAGGAGGTTCAGGACCTCCAACCAGACTGTGATCATTAATCAGAAACGCTGCCAGTTAGGGATTAAAAATACTATTCACTTTGCATCCTTTACCTTTCCAACACCTGTGTGGCATCAGATGTTCACGCTGATACTGATCAGATGAAGACACCTTGACTGGCTCCAGTCCTGACCTTTGCAGATGAATCCTGACATCTGTGCTGTGCTTGTATTTGCAGGTGAGACGCCCCAGCTGAGTTCTGGCGAAGTTTTTATTGACATTGACGACGAGCAGCCTCTAGTGGCCGACCAGGTAAAGCCGTCCCGTCAGTCAGTGGCTTGAAGCTGAGGAATAAGTTCAACTATCCACAAATGAAATATAACATCTTTACTCTCAGGGTGACTTCTGTTGTTTTGCATGAAAGGACCAAAACAATCAGGGTGTCTCCTGAAACTTCGCTCTGCAAGTTTCAGCCTGAGTCGATTGTTTCCTACTGAAACGTGAGCTTTAAAACAAAGTAGTATGTTATTCTGAACAAAATCACCCAAACATGAAGAACACAGAGCATTTCCTGGACTCCGCTTCAATCAAACTAAACTTGTACTTTTCATGCAAATGAGTAGTTCCAGCTTGTTCAGTTAAACAGTTTGTGAAATCACAACTCCAGGAAACTGTGCAGCTTGTATGAAATCAGCATCTTCATTTTGATAAATCCCTATAATCAGATTAATAATCAATAGATGACATGGATCAGCCTTTACAGAACCAATCAGATGTCGCAGAAAGACTTTCAGAGACCTTCAAACTGCAGCTGAACTTTTCTCCTCCAGTTGTTCTTCATTACAGCGAGTGGTTTGATACCTAATGATGCAGCGATTTCCTCATGCATGTAGGAGCAGTGTGTGTGTGTGTGTGTGTGTGTGTGTGTGGTGGCATTTCTGTTGTTTATCTGTGTGTGTGTGAGTGTGTAGCTGTGAGCTCTACTTCGGGGCGTGGAGTGTTATGACCAATAAGTGTAAAGGGCAAGTATGAAACACTCATCTTTCCACAGTGTGTGTGTGTGTGTGTGTGTGTGTGTGTGTGTGTTCGGCGGTACCGGCAGCAGCATAAATAAACATGTTCTGACATGATGACATGGCAACCGTCTCTGTGGTCGGTGGTTGCCGCGACGACCACAAGACCCGCGCTCGTCACCAATCATTAACTTTTCTCCGAGTTTAGGACTTTTAGTTTTCTCTCCTCTGTTCTGCTGCTTTTCTTTCTTCCTTTCTTCTCGTGGGTCTGTTTTCCAGTCGGCTTCAGCCTGGTGCAGATTTCATCCTGCACACACACACATGAAGGAATCCCTCACGCTAAAGATAAAGCAGACAAAACCGCACGCCTTCGAGAAAACATAAAGAGACGGGTTAGTAGCTGTAGGGTCAGCAGCAGCAGCAGCTGTTACACAAGTGAAATGGACCAAAGTGGTTCTGTGATCGTTGCTCACGGCGGCGCTACAGCTGATCTGATCAACACAGACACAGATCGCTCCATCAAACAGCCTGAAACTCTCTGACTGTCTGCATGTTGAAACGCCGTTGATCCTTCTTCATCGTGACCTGTGCACTCTGGATGTCAGCTTCTGGACCAAACCTCTGACTGGTGGGATCCTTTCTGGCCTCATCACAGCTGGTGGACTTGTGCTTGTCTACCTGCTTTCTGAGGATCGACTACAGGTTCTCAGTCAGATTAAGCTCTGGGAAGTTTTCAGCATGCTGATCTCTGAGCCGCTTTGCTTTACCCGTTGCCTGGGACCTGATGCTCCATCACGCTGCTCAGACTCCACCGACCTGCTCGTCGTTCTTTATTCTCAGCTTTTGGGCAGAAATGTGAGCGACCTGACTCATGGATGGTCTCAGGAGGCTTCACTGTGGGGACAACTCAGGACTCATGGCAGCATCTCTCTTCTCCAGATTCCAGATGTCTTCTGCTGTCTGGTCCTTGAACCTTCTGAAGAGTTTCAGTCTGTCTTTGATGATGTTCTCAGACAGAAGTAGCTTCTCTGCTGCCCGTCTGGACACCAGGCTGTTGTCCAACTTCCCACCAAAACTTCGTAGCTGAGTCTTCAGGAGGAGACGTCCTGGTATTTACTGGACGTCCCCAAGTTTCCTTCCCTACAGTTGAACTCCTTGAGGTTCTTCATGATGCAGTAATTAGTTCTTCAGTATTCTAACCTGCAGATTTCTTGAACTATAACTCTCACAGCCCTGAAATGTGACGAGGACACGGACTGAATAGTTTGCAGTAAATCCAAATGATTGAACGGATCCAGAAGAGGACACGTTTTTAATTACTGGCTTTTGGAAAAAAATCTAACTTTGCTGGTTTTGTGTCTCCAGAAAGTTCCTGTCAGTGTCTGTCTCTGGATGGATCCATGGTTCTAGTAGAACCCAGTCTCTGGTCACATTTCACCACCTGTTGAGGCTCTAACATCAGTAGAACCTGATGTGGTGAAGTTGGACCAGACAAGGTTCCAGTTTTTACATGTTCTAAATGTTGATGTGGACCTTTGGGAAGGAAAAGAACCTGGAGTTCACAAGTTAAAGATGTCGGTTCTAG